ATTGGCGCTAGAAGGAGGGTGTCCGAATGTCAAGCGATCAGCGAATCCACTTTGGCGAGCCCCCAGCCGTTGGGCTCCCCACCCCGGGGGAACACCCCCCGCACGATGGAGCCCGTGACAAACGCCCCGCAGCGGCGTCAGAGCGTTACTGGCAATTGTTCAATGACCCAGGCTTGTCACCTCCCGACGGCGCACCCGCTGGCCCGTCGCCGGTGTCTCCCGAGGCCTTTCACGACCTCGCTCATCAAGTCCGAGCCCTGACGAGCATGGTGCAGACCATCATCCCGATTGTCTCGCAGCGAACCACTCCGCACGTGGCTCACCCTTCACAGCAACAGGAAACCCTCGTCCGCACTCACATACCTCTTTCCAGGCTCCCTGGCTCGCCTCAGAATCCAATAACTCGGCCCGGGAGCCGGGAGGCAGAAGACACGGCGAGCCGCCCCGAGCGCAAGGCTCCGTCGGTCGACTCTACAAACGCCCTACGAGCCCAGCTACGCCTCGTCAGTCAAAGACTCGACGAGGTACAACAGGAAGTCCGTAAGTCGAAAGGAGAGCTCGGGGTGGACGGGCAGCAAGGATCCCCGTTCACCCCCGAGATCCAAGACCAGGCGATCCCGTCACATTTCCGCCTCCCCTCACTGGACGCGTATAACGGCGCCGCTGACCCAGCGGACCACGTGGCCGCTTTTCACGCCCAGATGGTGCTATACGGGACTTCCGATGCTTTGATGTGCAGGGCGTTCCCGACAACCCTACGGGGGCCGGCCCGTGCATGGTATAGCAGTCTAAAGGTCGGGACCGTCGCCTCCTTCGACCAACTCGCCAAAGACTTCGAGCTTAGCTTCCTGGCTTACGCTCGACCAAAACCGTCCGTAGCATTACTCCTCGGACTCAATCAGAGGGAGGGCGAGCCCCTCTCCCATTTTGTGAACCGCTTTACGACGCAAATCCACGGACTATCGGATGCTCACCCCTCTCTACTGATGCAGGCATTCATGACAGGCCTGCGGCCCTCCCGGTTCTTCTGGTCTCTCGTGGAGCGACCCCCTGCCGCGGTCCCCGAAATGATTCAGCGTGCTGGCCAGTTTATCGCCGCGGAGACATGGATGGCTGGGAAGCGGGAAGAGCACAAAAAAGTCAAGGCGGAGCCACCTCGATAACAGCAGTCCGCCGCCTCCCGTCGCAAGTTGGATAGGTCCGACCCAAGACCTCCTCTCCCCGCCTTGAATTCTTCACGGACAGAAATATTTCTCCATGAGAAGGGGAAGGGACTACTCAAGGAGCCCCACCCGATGAGGAGCCCGCGAGAACTCACGGACCGCTCAAAATACTGCCGATTCCATCGGCAGCATGGGCACGACACCGAGCAGTGTCGTGAGCTAAAAAGGCAGATCGAGGAGCTCATCCGCCGAGGGCATCTCGGCCACTACCATCTGCCGGATAAAGAGCCATCACCTCACCCCGGGGGCCCCGTTGAGAGACACATCGACGTAATCGCTGGCGGCCCCGCATCAGGAGGGGGCTCCATGTCAGGAAGAAAGGCGTACGCCCGAGCCGCTCCTGATGTGACCCCTGGACACGGGCCCGAGCCCGAAATCACCTTCCCGACCGGGGTATCCAGGCAGCCCGAGCACGACGAAGCCCTCATGATATCAGCAAGGGTGGCCAACGCGCAGGTAAAGAGGATCATGGTCGACACAGGGAGTTCGGCCGACATACTCTACTTTGACGCCTTCCAGAAACTCGGCTTAGCTAAGGAGAGCATGCGCCCGATGGGTTCAGCGCTCACCGGGTTCACGGGAGATTCGATATCACCTCTGGGGGCCATTACTCTGCCCTTAACCCTAGGGACCCCGCCAAGGTCAAAGACGATAATGACCACCTTTTTGGTGGTCGACCTTCCTACGGCCTACAATGCCATACTGGGACGGCCGACCCTCAATAAGGTCAGAGTCGTCGTCTCGACCTACTACCAAACCATTAAGTTCCCAACTCACGCTGGGGTCGGAGAAGTTACTGGAAGCCCCCGAGAGTCCAGGCGGTGCTACCTAACCGCCATTTCACTACACAAGAGGACCAGGGTCGAGCCACCACTGGAGGACCCGCGGGAAACAAAAAGGCCGGCCCCTAATCCCGAGCCGAAAGGGCCCACCGTAGATGTGCCATTACAAGAAGCCCGACCCGACCGGACGGTCAAAGTGGGCTCGGAACTACCCGAACAGGAACGAGAGCAGCTCGTCGGCCTCCTACGGGAAAATGCCGACATCTTCGCCTGGTCCCCATCTGATATGACGGGCGTCGACCCAGGAGTTGCACAGCACCATCTCAACATCCCACCTGACGCTCGTCCGGTAAAGCAAAGGCCCAGGCGGCAAGCCCCTGATCGGCAGCAGGCCTTACGAGAGAAGGTGACCCGTCTCTTAGCAGCAGGCTTCATAGAGGAAGCCAGGTATCCTCAATGGCTGTCCAATTTAGTCCTAGTGAAAAAACAAAATGAAAGCTGGAGGATGTGCGTTGACTATACTAGTCTCAACAATGCCTGCCCGAAAGATTGCTACCCCCTCTCAAGGATCGACCAGTTGGTCGACGCAACGGCCGGACACGCGCGCCTCTCTTTCATGGACGCCTATTCGGGATACAACCAGATCAGGATGGCGCCCGAAGACAGGGAGCACACGGCCTTCCTCACCGACCAAGGGGTGTACTTCTACAAGGTCATGTCGTTTGGGTTGAAGAACGCCAGGGCCACATACCAGAGGACGGTAAACAAGATGTTCGCTCATCAGATCGGAAGGAACATGGAAGTATACGTGGACGACATGATCGTGAAAAGCCAAGAGGCCGAAGCCCACATTGCCGACCTGACCGAGGCGTTCGACACGCTACGCAGGTTCGGCATGCGACTCAACCCCACGAAATGCGCCTTCGGTGTCACCTCCGGGAAATTCCTCGGGTTCATCATACATGAAAGAGGAATTGACGCCAACCCGGAGAAGGTCCGAGCGATCATCAACATGTAGTCACCTCGGACGATCAAAGACCTGCAGCGACTGAACGGAAGGATTGTTGCCTTGTCCCGTTTCCTTGCCCGGTCGGGCGATCACTGCCTCCCCTTCTTCAGGGCGCTCAAGAACCCGAAAACCTTCCGGTGGACGACGGAGTGCGAAGAAGCCTTCAAACAGGTGAAGCAACGCCTGGCAAACCTCCCCCGGCTCGCCTCTGTTTCTCCCGGCGAAAAGCTGTGCCTCTATCTAGCGGCCTCCCCCCATGCAGTCAGTTCCGTCCTGATCAAAGAAAGCTCGGGCGAACAACTTCCGATCTACTACGTCAGCCACACCCTGAGCGGAGCCGAGGGGCGTTACCCGCCAATAGAGAAACTCGCGCTCGCCCTGGTGCTGTCAGCTCGGAAGTTGCGCCCCTACTTCCAGGCTCACCCGGTGGAAGTCATCACCGACCAACCCCTTCGGCAGGTTTTATCTAAATTCGATGTTGCAGGTCGGCTCCTCAAATGGGCAGTGGAGCTAGGCGAGCATGAAATAAGATACGTGCCTAGGACCGCCATCAAAGCCCAGGCGGTGGCCGACTTCATCGCGGAGCTAACTCAGGCGACAAACGAAGATCTGGAGCAGCCTCCCGAAGCTTGGATCCTACACGTGGATGGCTCATCCAGCTCAAAGGGCGCCGGCGCGGGACTGGTTCTGCTCGCCCCCGACGGCCGCTCGTTCGAGCGCTCCCTCCGCTTCGAGTTCAAGGCCACTAACAACGAAGCGGAATACGAGGCGCTCCTAGCATGACTCAGACTGGCCCTCGAGATGCAGGTGACCGCTATACACGTCCTCACTGACTCACAGCTTGTGGCCGAGCAGCTCAGCGGTGGATATGAGGCTCGAGACCCAACCATGGCGAAATACCTGGCGCAGGTAAGGGACCTGACTGCTAAGTTCCCTTATTTCACGTTATCCAATGTTCCGAGGGAGGAGAATGAGCGGGCCGACGTGCTAGCTAAGCTGGCGTCGAAGCCGACATGCAAAACATGCCCAAAGATCGAGGAGCTTCCTGCCCGAGCCATCGAAGTAGCGACTACAGCCCCCGGCAATGCCCCGATCACGTGGGTACAGGAGCTGCTGCGCTTCAAGCGGGACGAGACCCTCCCCCACGACGAAGTTGCGGCTCGGCGACTGCGTTGTACACACACGTGGTACGCTGAAGAAGGTGGCCGGCTCTATAGGCGGTCCTTCACTTACCCCCTCTTACGATGCCTAGAGCCAGATGAGGCCCAGACGGTCCTGGCCGAAGTCCACGAGGGGGTCTGCGGAGAGCACAGCGGTGGATGAACCTTGGCGCACAAATTGCTTCGCCATGGGTACTACTAGTCGAGCATGTGCCGGGACGCAAAAGCTTACGCGCAGCGCTGCGGCTCGTGTCAAAAGCACGCCCGCGCACCCCGACAGCCCGCGGTCCCTCTCAGCCCCGTCGCGTGCGCATGGCCATTCGCGTAGTGGGGGTTAGACCTTCTCGGCCCTTTCCCGCCGGCCTCGGGGCAGCGGAAGTACATCATCGTGGGAGTAGATTACTTCACAAAATGGGTCGAGGCCGAGCCGTTGGCGACAATCACGGAACACCAAATGGAGAAGTTCGTGTGGAGAAACCTAGTGACTCGGTTCGGGCTGCCCAAGGCCATTATTACGGATAACGGACCTCAGTTCGCTGGCAGGAGGTTCAGGGAGTTCTGCGCAAGTCATGACATCCAACTAAGGTTCAGCTCGGTGGCACACCCTCAGACAAACGGACTGGCAGAGGTGACCAATCGATCCATCTTGGACGGACTCAAAAGAAGGGTGTCCGCGGCCCGATCAGCCTGGACCGACGAACTCCTTAGCGTCCTATGGTCATTACACACCACTCCCAAGACAGCAACTGGAGAGTCCCCGTACAGCCTGACGTTCGGAACCGAAGCTGTCCTTCCACCCGAGATGACTATCTCCACCCTCCGGACGAGGAGCTTCGTCGAGAAAGTTTCAAACGAGGGACTTCGCGCCAACCTCGACATGCTCGAGAAACGACGTGCGAACGCGCACCTGAAGACCCTCTCTTACTAGAGAGCCGTCGAAAGGGTCTACAACAGGAAGGTACGACATCGACCGATAAAGTTAGGCGACCTGGTCCTCCGAAAGGCCGTGGTCAGCAACCCGACCCGAGCCAGGGGGAAGCTAGCCCCCAAATGGGAAGGACCTTATCGGGTCGTGGAGGTAGTCCGACCGTGTACTTACCGACTCACATCGATGGACGGTTCTCCTGTGCCGAGAACCTGGAACGTCGGAAACCTTAAGAAGTTTTTCGTTTGAAAAGAAGAAGAGCTTTGTCGTTTAAAGAAGAAGAGCTTTCTCCCAAAAGCGGAAGCTTTCGCCTAGGAAAAAAAGAGGGAGACGATAAAGCGGAAGGAGAAAAGTCTTTCTTTTCATTGAAGAAAGCAAGCCAAAATACAGGACCTGACTTACAAAAAACCGACCGACTAGCAAAATAAAATACAGGACTCCTTTCTTCATTGCCCGGGCTCCTCCAGGCGGTCGTCGAAGGGGACCTCCTCGAGCATGTCCACCCCCTGGTCCTCGAGGTGAGGAGCGAAGGGGTTCTCCTCCACCTCAAGACCAGGGTGGCGAGCGCGGAAGCGGGACGTGGCGATACGGTAACCGTACTCGAAGGATACCCGCCCCGTCCGCGTCAGCCTGAGCTTGAACCCCTCCGATTTCTTGTAGGCCTCGAGGAGCTCCTTGTCTTTTACGGGTCGAAGCCGGGCCTCCTCCGCCAGTGTCTCCGAGGCCGTCCTTGCTTCGACCTTCGCCTCCTCCAGCTTCTTGCTGAGGGCGCTCGCCTCCGTCTTCACCAGGCGGAGCTCAGTCCGCTCCACCCTTATTGTCTTTTGGAGCCCCTCGTTCGCCTTCTTGGAGGCCTCGAGCTCCGATCGGAGGCGTGCCGCCTCCGCTTCCAGATCCGCCGCCCGCTGCTCGGCAGCCGCCACGGCCTCCGGACCAGCTCCGGCTCGAACCTCCTCGACCTGGCGGACGAGCTCGGCATTGCGGTTGGCAAGGCCCCCGATGACCCGGCCGACGTCGCGCACCCTGTCCATCAGGGTCGTCGCATAGTGGAGCCCCTGCACGAGGAAGATCGGGTCAAGAAAGCCGGCGTCGGACAGACAAACCCAGAAAACGGAAACGTACCCAGACCAAAGACTGGGCGGACTTATTGAGCAGCGCATCCGAAGGAAGAATGTACAGATCCCGAGCCATGTCGGGATGGAGCGCGCCTCGGAGAAACGCTGCGGAGGGATCTCCTCTGGCCCACACCCTGTCCCCTCGGGACAGGCCTTCCCAACGCGCCACCAAGGGTTCGCCGGACTCAGCGAGCGGGATCTCGCTCGCCAGCCGCGTCAGGAACGGCTCCCCATCTCCGGCTGGGAGTCGGCACAGGTCGCGCACGGAGACGGGGCGCGGGCCTTTCCCAGTTACCCGTCGGCTAGGTCCGGCCCCGCCACGGCGGTGGCCCGCCTCAGGACCCCTCGACGGGGTTGTCTTCGCCTTCTTCAAAGGGCGCCCAGCCTCAACCTCCAGCGGGGCGGCCTCTATGCCGGGTTGCGGGTCGGTTGGCTGAGTCGGGAGAGAAGGTTCCGGGTCGGCCGGCGGAGAGGGAAGAGGGGGTTGCGACGCTTGAACCTCCAGGAACGACCGGAGCTTCACCATTTCTGCAAAAGATGGAACAGGTCAGTACTAAAAATCAGCTACGCTAAAACCCCAGTCCAAACGCCGTTAAACGTACCCAGAGGCACCGGGCTAAGGCCCGCCTCGACCAGCCATTGTTCGGTCATGGTCCGGATGGCTTGCGACCTAGGGAGGATCTCTCTGAGCCTCCCCAGAGCTTGGCGCTCCGCATCGCCCAAACAGGGGGTGGTGTTATCGATCGCCCTCGCGGACCATCGGACCCCGAAGCCCCAGTCCTGCGCACGGCTGATATAGAAAAACCTCCCCTTCCACCCCTTGTTGTTGGAAGGGGCCCCCCCGACACGAAAGCCCGTTCGGGCCGACAGGAAATAGCCCCCCGAGCTCTTGCAAAGGCGGTACAAAGAGAGAAAGAGATCGAGGGTAGGGGCGATGCCGGCATAATGACATTCCCCTAGGAATGCCACTAGGTAACGCCAAGAGTTCGGCGTCACCTGAGACGGCGAGATCCGCCAAAAGGACAGGCAAGATACGATGAGTGGATGGAGAGGAAAGCGCAAGCCCGCTTCCAGGGCGTCAAGGGATAGGGCGAAGCCCTTCGGGACGGGATCGTACGCCCGTTGCCCCGGCTCGGGGGCGCTGAGGATGTGATCCTCCGGGATATGGTAACGATCCCGGAGTCCTTCCAGCGAAGGCCCGCTCACGACGGAGTCCAGGTCGTGCGGCCACTTCAAAGCTTCGAGGGCTCGTGCTGCTTCCTCGTCAGAAGATTCAACGGGGGACGAAGCAGGGTTCCCCTCCCCAACCCCGAGGATAGGGGAAGGAGAAGAGGATGGAGAAGAGGAAGAAGGAGAAGAGGACGATATCTCAACTGACCTTAGGAGGAGGGAAAAACTACGCAGGGGGCCGGGAAGAGAATTGGGGAGGCAACAGCAGAACTCGAAGGAGGAAACACTGCAGCAGAAGATAGAGGCAAGTTTCGGCGTCCGCTATTTAAAGGTGATGTCCCGCCAGAATCAAGGCCCCTTCGCCTTCCAAGAGCGGGCAACAGCTCACCCACGCACGTGCGCAACCGTTGCATCGCATCGGGAGACACCCAAAGGCCCTCCGCCTTAATGAAGCACTGACGTGGCGACCCCGCTGAAGCGGCAGCAGCCAGACGCCTCGACCTCGACGACAGGCCAACTCACCCTTTCTGAGGATAAAATTAAATGCGGTAACTTTTCGACCCCCACCGCCGCCAAAAATTAAAAGCAGAGCCCACTACCGCACGCCTCCCGAGACCACACCTGCGCGGTAACCCGCCTGTGTCGTGCTCCTCGGCCCTCGACTGCACGCCTCCCGAGACCACGCCTGCGCGGTAACCCGCCTGCGTCGTGCTCCTCAGCCCTCGGCCGCACGCCTCTCGAGACCACGCCTGCGCGGTAACCCGCCTGCGCCGTGCTCCTCGGCCCTCGGCTGCACGCCTCCCGAGACCACGCCTGCGCGGTAACCCGCCTGCGTCGTGCTCCTCGGCCCTCGGTTGCACGCCTCCCGAGACCACACCTGCGCGGTAACCCGCCTGCGTCATGCTCCTCGGCCCTTGTCGGCTCCGTGACCCCCGAGTTCGACCCTGCCCGACCGGCCCATCGACGGCGTGCCCCTCGGACTCGCGTGGCCAATGCACCAGAAGGCAGCAGCCATGCATCGGACCCCCTACATGCAAAAACTGACGCATAGCTCCTTTCGGGGGGGGGGGGGAATATGATAGGGGTAAAGACAAATAGGACATGACGCACCAGATTTGACGTAACACCACCCAACGTCA